CTCACTGCAACCTCTACCTCCTGGGTTCAAGCGATTCTCCTGCCTCAGCCTCCCAAGTAGCTGGGACTACAGGTGCATGCCACCACACCCAGCTAATTTTTGTATTTTTAGTAGAGACAGAGTTTCATCATGTTGGCCAGAATGATCTTGATCTCTTGACCTCGTGATCCACCCACCTCATGCCCCCAAAGTGCTGGAATTACAGGCATGAGCCGCCTCACCCAGCCTCCCCTGTACTTCTTTTATGTGTGAACTAAACCACACACACACACAGACACACACACAGACACACACACACACACACACACACACACACACACAAATGCAATAAAGTCTAAGCCACTATTTTGTAAGTCTTTGTTACTTATCACCAAACACAACCCTTACTAAAGTATCACTTCTTTAACTCATTTAAACTACTACTTCTTTTAAACCACTAAACTACCACTTCTTTGATTCATTTAACAAATATTTATTGATCACGCACCCTGTGAAAATCACTGTTCGCAGCATTTGGGACAAAGCAGTGAACACTAGAAACTATAGAAACTATTCCAATCTTGATAGTCACTTTTTAGTAAGGGAGATGGACAATAAACAAAATGGAAAATAAGCTAAGAGTTAGATAATAATAATATAATGATAGGAATAAAATGGGAAGAGGGACACAGAGGTGCTTGGGAGAGTAGTTTCCATTTTAAACGGACTGAGAAAGAAGGCCTCATGAGAAGCGGGTGTTTCTGTAAGACTCTCAGGGAAGTGACTGAACAAAGCCTGTGAATATTCGGAAAGGAGTGTTCTAGATAGAGATACTACTCATGAAACAGAGTTGAGGTAGGGACAGACCTGTGTATCTGAAGAGCAGCAGGAAGCCCAGGTGGCTGGGATAAAGTTAGCCAGGTGGAGCAGGAGAACCTGAGATCAGATTAGTGGCCTTCAAAGAATGACTGGGAAAACTAAATGAGATGATGCACATGTGATTCTTCGAACAGTGGCATGTCGTATATGCCCAGTAAATGTTTTCTTTCCCTTCAAACTGCCCCCTCCCAATTTTAAAATTTTCAAAGTTTAAAGAACAGTGAACACCCACATGCCTACCACTTAGATTCTACATTTAACATTAATATGCTATGCTCGGCGTGGTGGCACGCACCTGTAAACACCGGAACTTTGGGAGGCCGAGGTGGGCAGATCACTTGAGGTCAGGTGTTCAAGATCAGCCTGGTCAACATGGTGAAACTCCATCTCTACTAAAAATACAAAAATTAGCTGGGTGTGGTGGTGGGCACCTATAATCCAATCTACTCAGGAGGCTGAGGCAGAATTGGTTAAACCCAGGAGGCATCAGTGAGCCAAGATCGCGCCACTGCATTCCAACCTGGGTAACACTGACACTCCATCTCAAAAATAATAATGATATGCTAGTATTATCATAGGTTTACCCATGTAACAATCTAGCTGTCCATCTTATTTTTTTGGATACATTATCTTTTTTTAGTTTTAGAGATGGGGTCTCACTACCATGTCCAGGCTAGTCTTGAACTACTGGACTCAAGCAATCCTCTCACTTCAGCCTCTCCAGTGGCTGGGCCCAGCTTGGATACATTTTAAAGTAAGTTGCAGACATCAGTAGACTTGACCTCTAAATATTTCAGCATGCATATCATTAACTAGAGTTCAATACTTGTTTAGGCAAGCATTCTTTCTTCTTTCCCAGGTAAATGCACAAATCTTAAGATGAGTTTTGACAAATGTATGCCCATGTAACTTTTTTTTTTTTTTTCTGAGATGGAGTCTCGCTCTCACTCTGTTGCCCAGGCTGGAGTGCAGTGGTGATCTCAGCTCACTGTAACCTCTGCCTCCTGTATACCCATGTAACTTAAACCCCAACAAAGTTTAAAAAAAAAAAAAAAAAGACCATCATCCCTAAAGTTCTGTCAGGCCCCTCTGCAGTCAATCTCCACTCCCAAACTATTTAACACCTATTCCAATTTTTTTCATTATACTTAATTTTGCTTGTTTTAAAATTCCTCAAACTTTTAATAAACGGTCAGTGGAGAGTAAACATATTCTCAACTACTGTGGGAGGGATTATAAATTGGTATATCCTTTTTAGAAGACTATCTGGCAGTACGTAATTAGTTAAATAAAATTTATGCATTCCTCTTGACTTAGTATTTTAAGGGAGGAATTTTCTGAGGGGACTGTCAGCTCATGTATGCAAGGAAGCCAGTCCTAAGGCTGTTCACTGAAGCACTGTTTGGGACAGAGAAGGATTGGAAATCACCTAAATGCCCATCAGTAGGGGAAAAGTACATGAATGAACAGTCACGCTTTGCAGCAACTGTAAGAAATGATTTATTGGTATGTTAAGATTGCCAGGACAATCATTAAGTGCACAAAAGCAAGTTACAAGACGCTACATAAAACCGTTAACACAGAAGACCAAACCAAGCCAAACCAAACACAAAACACATGCCCAAGGTGTATTTTTGTTAGTCCAAGTTGACACCAGTAGTTACCTCTGGGGAGAGGACTGGGATTATGGGAAAGGAGAGTAGGTGCTCAAGGGGTTTTTCCTTTATTGTATTATTTGACTCTTTTACAATAAAACTACATCGTGGCTTAGAGGATTAAATTATTTTTTAAAAAGACTGCAGAGAGACGGGGGTGGTGGCTCACACCTGTAATCCCAGCACTATGGGAGGCTGAGGTGGGTGGATCACTTGAGGTCAGGAGTTTAAGATCGGCCTGGCCAACATGATAAAACCCCATCTCAACTAAAAGTACAAAAATTAGCTGGGCATGGTGGCATGCACCTGTAATCCCAGCTACTCGAGAGGTTGACGCAGGAGAATTGCTTGATCCCAGCAAGTGGAGGTTGCTGTGAGCTGAGATAGTGCTACTGCACTTCAGCCTGGGCAACAGTGCAAAACTCCACCTA